ATGCCCTATTAAAATGTGACTGCTTATTCTTCAACTGAATTGTACTAATCAACAAGAAATTTTATCAATAACTGCCAAACGAGGATGTTAATCAAATTGCTAAATAAATAACAATAATTGGAACCTTCATTTACTCAGCATTCCGCAATTCTCACTCTTCGAAGGTAATTTCACAAATGAGTGTAGAGCGCTGTGTTGGTAACGTCAGTAAGGGTGAAGATGATGGGACCTTTTATTGACCCCATGTTTTGTCCCTAATAAATTTTACTGCGATAACCGTTCCGTATCATGGGTGGGAGCTTACACCTATGAAACAGCACCATAAATTTTGCCCAAACGAGGTACGCCCCGGGAGATGGGCAAGAGAATCGTAAATTGCCGCTTCATCGCGCGCGGCAAAGAGAGCGACGTTTTCCTGATTTGCACTCCCTTTCGATCGGATTTCACCGTGTAGAGGATATGGTAGACACTTATGTCTATTTTTGGTCATACATTGTCTATTCTCGACCAATACCACCTAAAATCGTCGTCATTAGCGGGCGCGACGTCGCACGCGACGCCCACTGGCGCGGCGAATTACGATTCTCTTGCCACATACCTGTACCCCCCCAACGCTTTGGTGGGATCTTCGACCACTAAAATATTCGAAAACGTCGCATCATCTGATAGTAACACTATTTTCCAGTTCATTCTAAGTAGTTAAAGTCAGCTGAAACTGCACAAACTTCTAATAACTACAACAGTACCTGGATGACGTCGACACTTCCAGTCATCTGATAAGTCTCATCCATACGACGTGCGCTTACTACGATCCCACCAAACCGGGCATATAGCAGCTCTTCATGCGATCCATTCACTAGCGATATACCAATACCGGCTCGCATCGTCACATTGATTTCCATTCCAGCTGAAAGTAACAGACATCATAACTTTCTGAAGGCACTATTTAGCCCTTTCACCTTTTCTAACTCCGGGCTCAATGTTATTCGAAATTTGCGTTTTGAGAACCAAAATCATTCCCATAAACAAATTTCTGCGAACCCAGTGATCAGAAGTGTTTTCGCGGTCTTATCTGGGGTGCGAGAGCTGGGAGCTTACACGTCAAGAGCATAAGGGTGCAGTCGTACCCCAGCAAGGGATAGGGTGTATAACGGGGACCTGAATAGGAGTAGCCTCCAGCACCAATCACAGCGGAGCCAGGATGGCATCATTGGTGGAAAAGGCCGCACTGGCTGCGCTCCAATTCACTCTCCAGACACAGACCCTACATTCTGCAGGGATCTCGACGAATTTGCGTTCAGAGGTCAAACTTCCGCCGAGGACAGGTTGCTAGCCAAAAC